TTGTCCACATAGGGTCAAAGGTATACATACAGATTCAAATGCATAGATACAATCACTTAAATCTTTTAATAAGTGGTGTTGAAGGTTCTATAATGTATTGACTCTGACTTTTTACAATGAGAAAGTCCAAGCAACTCAGTAAAGATCTAAGACAAGGAACTGTAGATTTACAGAAGCTGGGAAGGTCTGTTGGAGCTATTTCTAAAATACTGCAGATTCCAAGATCATAAGTTCAAACATTTGCATGTCAGTACAAGTTATTTGGATGCGTCACTACTTTGCCAAGGTCTGAAAGAAGACCAAGCTATTACCCTGAGATGAGAGAAAGTTGGTTACGATGTAGGGAACAATGCAAGAACTAGCAAAGATCAAGCATGCCATGAGCTGGAAACTGCTGGAACACCAGCGTCACTGTCCACAGAGAATGATGTCAACACATTCCAAAACAGGTTTTGGAATGGATAAAGGTGGATAACATGAAACTTCTGGAATGACCTTCTCAAATACCCAACCTCAGTCCTAAATTTTAATCCGGAAATTTATGGACTATGCTTAAAAGTTTCAGGTGAGTGCCAGAAATCCAACTAACTGACTAAATGAACTCCAGTTATTTTGCCAAGAAGAGCGGTCAAATATCCAGCCAGAACTATCCCAGAACCTCGTTGATGGCAACCAAAAGCATCTGTTTGAGGTGTAACTTGGTAATGGAGATTTCATCAAATATTAATGGGGGTGTGGACATGTATTTGAGCATGTATGTATACTTTGGACAATGTGTCGAGGACAGAAAAACCAAAATAAATTCAAACTTGTCAATTTTTTCATTTTTTAAACTCGTTAAAGAACAGTTCAAATAAAAACTCCAAACTTACCATCATATTCACACCCACTGTGAGTGTATGTGATCTTCTGACCAAAAAGCAATTTTGAGCCTTTAAAAAAACCCTCATAACAAACCCACTAATCACTCAATACTGAAATACCTCTCACAGCAAGATACTTAAAGCTCCAGCTGATACTGTCATTTCCTATCCTACATCTTTGCGTAAATGCAGGATGATGTGACTCGTGTTATGACGCTGAATAGGTCTGGCTCATGAGAATGTATGGTATGCACGAACATGTGTACGCTTGTGAGTGGAAATCTCCATTCAGTGGAAGCCTTGTCCCTAATGTGTCCCCTCACGATGTGAAGTCAAATCCACTTAAAACCACTGTGTCAGGATTCATAAAGAGAATGGCTGCAAACTGGGCTTTGACCCACAAACCTCGAAGTGGCTCTCACACGCTGGCAGGATATGTGGCGGCTGAGCTGGCTGTAACAGGACAGTCTCTCCTTTTTGATAACAGGGATACAAAACACGACAGCCTTCTTCTGCCCCAGCCCTTTTCTATAGATTATCCCGGTTATGCAACATATCGTTTAGATCTCAGCAGTCAATTTTTGCTGATGTTCAATATATAAAGCTGTGGTTTAAACACATTTCACAGATGGTGCTGGTGGATTGCATGAAATAACGCACACACAGAACTTTCCAGCTTTTTTTCCGTTTCTAAAATGACTTCATTATTTTTCCTGCAACTCTCTGAAAATCTGTCCACTTAAGGGAGGGAAGGAATAGACCTTTTCTGTTTTGGAAGGCTTCACAGCTTCTCTCACATAGAGCTGTGTGAATACTGTGAAATGAGGAATAACCTGCTTTTAGGTACCAAAACAATTACTGACACACCTCCCAGCTAAGTATCAATTATGACGCTCAGGGCTATAGTGAAACAATCTGAGAGCCACACCCTGAAACCCTGACTTCTAATGAGGGACAAAGTCATTTTGATTTATCATTGCGCTGCAGTCATTTTACCGGCAGTATATTTAATACTGATGAGAAGCTACAGAAAGATTGGAGAACACCGGAGACATCCATCAAATACTACTGCTGCAGATATCTGACTCATGCTTGCTGGCAACTGCATTAGTGTGTGTTTTAAAGATACCATTAAGGCATCATGTGGAGATCCAAGTCTGTGAGGCATAGTGTTACTAGTGTACGTGTGTGTGTGTGTGTGCACGCATGCATTTTAAATGAACAATTTCAACTCATGAAATTATCTTCTTATACAATTTAGGTGTTCTACTGTGATTTGAGCCTAACCATGTATAAATGGATGGGATTTCCTTTAAAAGGAAATTGAATGGCACTTTTCTTTTCTTACTAACCAATCAAAGCACTATAAAACACATTTGCTCATGCAATCATAGATAAATGCATTTGGATGGCGCTCTAGTCTATGCACTGTAAACACTTTACCTGACATCTGTGGTAAGTTTAGCATCACAGATTATCTCAGTGACTAAACAGAGGACGAACGTGCACGCACCCAGGACTCGGGAGGCTTTTGAATAGAGGACCTTCTTGCTCTATTATTTTCTGTTATACATGCATTGTTGTAAAGGTGGAAGCTCACATTAAACAGAGCCAAAATTTCAAATAACGAGGTCTGCGCATGGAGACATAATCCTATTGAATCAAAAGCTCCAGCTTCAGATGGCTTTCTCTACTCTTGGCTCTGTATGATGTCAGAGAGAGAGGATAGCCCTTATATGGTAATCTGAAGCGCAAAGCTCTGAAGCTCCACCTACTTGCTGTTCAGACCTTTTGTTTGTGTGTGGTAGCCAATTAGAAGAGAGCTGGCTTATAACAGCATGTCCCACCTTGGAAGCTGAAAAATGTTCATACCCCACATCCCATGTTTGTTTGTTTTTTTACTATTAACAAAAAAACAAAACAAAAATCACTGAATTTCATTGAAGGCCCAGCATCAGTAAAGTCTTGCTTGTTTATTTACCCTTACAACAGTCATTAATTCACTCTGAAGCAGCTCTTCTTAGACAGGATGAACTGTAGGGCAGCAGAGTTTTTCTGAACTGTAAATCATTGAAAAATAGTCTTAGAAAATAATAATATGGAGTTGGAATGAATGCTTAATAGGTCCACTTTAAGTACTGTTTGAAAAGCATTTAAAAGGAAGTCTTTCATCTCTGTCCTCCTTAGATGGAGCTGAGCAGGCTGTTAAGGTCTGTGCTAAGCTTGTTGTTTTCCCGGCAGAGACACGACTACGACTCTGGATTGATTTGCTCCTGCGGTGAATACACACACCAGCCAGCAGCCTCCAGCTGGCAGCAGGAAGACCCGACCAACGTTGTCTCCGCAGGAGAGCTCATTGTCCCGCCCCTGCGGTGCATCATCTCACACTCTTCCTGCCTGCAAGATGCAAACATCTATATATGCATTGGAGACACCCTATTAACCAAAGTATGACTTTTTTGTGACATCATTATACCTTGGACACCAAAGTGCAAAGCTATGAGAGTGAAATATTGTGCATGTGCATGTTTTAAGACCAAAATATCACCTGGATGATGTGTAGTGCTTTTAGGAAACCATAAAATGCTGTCCTGAGCCAAGAATGTGGTACATGATGTGACAGACAGTCGTTTATGAAACTATAATATCCCACTGGGTGATGAAATCCTCTAAACATTTTATAAGAGGAGATGTCTGACTAATAACTTTATGTAAGTTATTACAATTATGAAACCAAGCAGCATTTAAAATGAAAGCTTGGCCTACACTGACCTCTAGTGAAGACATGACAAGTGTGCACACGGAGAACAGAAGGAGCAGATTCTATTTCATTTTTTCTCCAGCATATGAAAGTAAATCACTAATTAAAAAACAAAACAAAAATATTAGCATGAACAGTTAAAATCATTAACACCAGACTATTTCCTTCGGTAGTTTTTTTGTTAGATTACAATCTGGTTACCAGACGCCTCCATGTGGCCAAACTGAGACACTTCATAGGCAAGAGTTGAGCAGAGGCAGACTGCAGAATATAGAGCAAATCAATACAAAACGGTTTGCTTAAATAATTTATGAATGATACACAAACAATGAATACATGGTTTATAGCAGACTGTAAACTTACAATTTTAATGTGTATCAGATAGAGCTGTGAAGGTAGTAACTGCTGTTTTATATTTACAGTTTGAGTTAGAACTCGATGTAATAAATCACTTAGTCAGCTGATTTAGACCAGGGCAGACTCAAATAGTTTACTTTAAATTCACTAACTGCAGCTTTTTCACTGAAAATGTAGCTTCTTTTTTTTTTTAAAGAACATTTCCACATGCGAACTTGTGTTCTGGTAAACTGATGGGCTCAGCACTGTGTATTCAGGTGATCATTAACAACATCTATTCAACCAGTCACATGGCAGTAAATCAGTTCATTTAGTCCTGCAGACGTGGTCAAGATGACCTGTTCAGCTCACATAACCACTCATTACAGCAAAGGTACATTGAGCCTCGAAGCAGATTGGATACCACAGCAGAAGATCACACCAGGTGAACAAGAAATCAAGTTACAATTGGCAAGATTGGAAAAATCTTTCCTGATCCAAGTTTGAATTTCAGACGGTACATTTGGATGAAGGATGAGAATTTTGGGTAAACAACACAAAAACAGGGAAAACATCTTGGCTTGTATCAGCTGTTCAGGTTGGCAGTACTGACGTAATGGTGCAGAGCATGGTTTCTTGAACATGACGTGATGAGTTCATTGTACTCAAATTGCCTGTATAGTTACCAGATGTGAATCTGGTAGGGCACCTTTGGGATGTGGTGAAACAGGAGATTCAACTGTGTGATGCTTTCACCTTGTTGAATCCATGCCATTAAGAATTAAGGCAAAGCGGAATCTCTTATACTCTTCATATCTACTTTATCCTTTGTTTAGTGGTTTGGTTTATGCATTATTTAACTGCTTGACTCCCCTCTCCTTTTTGGGCAATTTTTAAAAATATTTTACATATAAAACTTATTTGTTGATTAATCAAATCTTGCATTTGGAAACCTCTGTGGCCATAACAGAGCAAACAAAAACAGCATCCATACATCCACAAGGACTCACACAGCGGCACATCCTAAGAAATTTCCCATCTTGTGTCAAGAGTTTTGTTTATTTTGACAGCGTTTCAGAATATCATACAGGTAAACAAGATTTTTGCAAAAGTTAATATATTCATAGTGTTGCATTTCATAAAAATAGTTGCTCCACTTACAGTCTTTGTGACCATCAATAGTACACCGAGTCATATTTATAGAGATATTTGTTCAGGGTCTACACACTGCTATTACACTACACAGTGATACCGAGCCGCTCAGGGTGTCGGGGTTTATATTGTGGTGCGAAAGCGTGTCTTTGTTGTTCTCAAACACACACTTTAACACACCCCTAGGTTTTTTTTTTCTTTTTTAAATTTCCCTAGAAAACTACTTACAGTTTGACTCGATGGAGACAGCTCAGATGTGGAAAGCAGTGATTTGTGCAAAGGCAGAGCAAAAAAAGACACACGTTTCCCTGCTTCTGCTCAAATCTGAAGTCACAAAATAAAGGAGCAGTCCAACTAAATGGGTGTGATGTGACGGCGTGTAACTGAGGCATTTTACAAGTGACTGAAAAAGCTCAATTGTTTGCTCCCGGCTGGTGATTCCTTCATTCCTCCCATTTCAAACCCTCTGTGTTGGATTGTGTTTTTAAGTCAGTCTGCTTAGTGCGTGTGTAATTACGGATTACAACGGCAAACATAATGACTTGTGTCCCTTTGCTCACTCAAACACTATCAGTATGTCCCTCAGCAGAAGAAGGAAAGGAGGTTTTTTGTTTTTTTCTTAGGCTCTTTGATTCTCATTCAGAGAAAAATACTCAAAATTAACCGTTTGCTAGATTCCTCCCATTCAACAGCCATTCAGTGACTCAAAGAATGCACTGCAGCCCTGTCAAGCTTTGGATTCATGTCTGTGTCTGTGTGGTGTGCTTACTGTTTGGCACGTTTAAGGGTGGGTGATATCTCTGCGCAGTTATTTAGCCTCAAAGATAAAAACAATAGCAAAAGGAATTAATGCTTTATCTGTAATCCTTTGCAGGGTGACTTACAGTGTTGGGGAACAGAGAACTACATGTAACTAAATTAGTATTTTTAACATTCTTTTATTATTATAGCTTGCTGGCAGTTGAACATTTGTTTTGATGCAGTGATTCATGTAATCAATTACATGAGGGTTTTTCACTACAGAAACTACAAATAAATGTTCCTTAAAGGCAATGAAATAGTCCCACCCATTTTTCTGTCACAGTCTGTGGGTTTATCACAGGGATTTTGGTTATTTTGTTGGGCTTTTCTGTTTCATTTAGTATTACCGATCTTTTAATTCAAAGGTCTTTTCTGAATATTTTGATGGAGGTATCTTGAGATTTTATTAATTTATTAACTCAAGATTAGGATTAACGTTAGTCTTACTTTAGTTATAACTTAAAATGAAAAATAAAACTGAATTGTTGATTGTTATAAAAAGTGACGGCTTTGGCTGCGCACTAGCCTCACATTTAAGACCCACACTGAACACCTCTCCAGACTACAAAAGTGTGGATGACACTTTTATGCATGCACAATTTAAAATGGGAATTTATTGCAGTCTGGAAATAAACCAAGATGTTTTTATTGTCAAAAGGAAAGAGGGGACTTTTTTAGCTTTTTTTTACTGTAATCTACTGAATACCAGCTACCGTTGCTTATTTTTAGACTCCAGTACATTTTTTTCTGGCCACTTTATGAGTGTGCAGCTATCTGAACATAACACTGACATACTGGTATTATGACTTTAATGCTGTTGTGGCTAACAGGCTAGCAAATAGCTTTTTACACACACATATAGCATATGCATATTTGACCTCAGTGCAGTAGCTTTTTCTTTTGAAACATTTTAGTAATATTAATACTGTGTAAAAAAAAAAATTGAACGGACTTTTATCAAATTTTATTTTCTTACTCATCATTACACCTTATATGAAAACCGAGACAGTCAGCAAACATAAAGGAGCAGCATTGCACGCTGCAAAGGTTACTAGGTTACCTCTTCTGTCTTTTTACAGGTTTGTTTTGTAAAATTACTAATTCGATTAAGTTTCCCCAACGCTCTTTATTAGTATCAGCGTAACTTTTGTATTTTTGTGTAGTTTATGTTCCAGCAACCTCAGGCAATGCTATCTGAGACAGATGAGACATTTTGTCCAACTTCACCTGACAGTCTTCATCCTAAAAATCTTTCCCTCCTGTGACATTAAATGTCAAGCTGCTTTCAAGTACCTCTGCCTGTAATCAAGAACGCGCCGTTTGAAGTCTTAGCGTCACCGTTTTATCAAACATTGTGCAAGAATAGAAAGCTTGACAGGAACTGTGGCAGTTACCAAAGGCGGCAGGGCTTAGCTAGTTACGAGCTTGATGTATAGAAATACAAGCGTTGCCTTCAAAGTCAGTCAGATTCTTGGGCAGGAATGCTTAAAAAAAAAAAACAGGAACCCTCAAAAGAGCTTTGGCATGGATATATATGTCTCAATATCACACAGTGTAGACAGAATCTCTTAAAAGAAATTTAATTCAGCAGCTGACAAAGTGTCACGTTCACATGAGCATTCAGTCCTTCCTTCGAGATGCAGATTGTTACGCAAGCGAGCTTCTGAGAAGGTGAGATTGATTCTCTACTGAATTAATATCAGATTTTATTAATTTGGTTTGGTTTAGGGTGCAAAGCTCTGTCTGCCATGTGGCGACGTTTGATTACACAATCTCATATAAGCAATTCTTCATGGAAATTACTGGTGTCAGACCTCATTAAGAAATCAGTAATGAAAAGCATCATGACCCGAGATGAACCACAAATAAAAAGGGACCGTGGATACCTCCGCTAATGGACTCATTTTCATACATAAGCTTGTGAAATAAATTATATATTTCACCGTGTCACACTAAAGAAATGCAGTTTATATTTATATCTGTAGAGTGGGTGTTGTATAGCAGCCTCTGTTGAACCCTCTGCAGTATTTTCGCGGTTGAACCTTTTGTCCTCAGTCTAAGGCACTCTGCCCCTTCGTTGGTATCACACAAGCTCCTTCTCTCAGTGTCCGACAGGACACCGCTGTCGCAGATTGCTTTGATCGTTAAGCACAGAAGAAAGGAAAATAGATTGAAGAGACACTCCCACTGAAGCCCGAGTGATTCAAACAGGCCGTGCAGTCGATCGCAGCAGGCTTGCTGAGACCCAGACCTGTGATCGCAGGGCGGAACAGGAGTGTGCAGGAGCAAGGAGCTACCTAAAGATCCGGGGCATGTCGTGCTGCTTCGCTCATTTATTTGTAGACTAGAATTTCTATATGTTCACTTAAAGATGATCTTATTTACAAAATGTTCCCACATATTCATATTCGTTATAATATATCTATGTCTATAATCATCTGATAGATTATTCAAGACAGGTTCAGGCCCAATACAGTCTCTGTTAAGGCAAAGTTTCTGCTGATGAGTCGATTTCATTTCTGCGGTCGCTCTTTGATCCATTCACTCTCCTCAAAAACATCCGTTAAACATTCCTTTTCATAAAATAGACTCCACTGTGTAGATATATATAAAAAAATCCATCCGACATTTACTTCCTGCTATGTTGTTTATATTTGCATGTTTGCACACCCCCCCCCCCAGTTCAGCAAAATAGAGGTCTTCAAAATTCATTTACTCCACAAATGATTCCCACCACGCTACACAAAGACTCTATTTGCTCTTCTTTTGTGTGTGTGTGTTAACTTGGATGATTTTCCAGTTCTTAAGGTGGTAGGTGTAAAATATGTTTCTCCAAAATAATTTAAAATACAGTTCCATAAATAAAACTTTAAAAACACGTGGTCCAGATCACCCTGCCCCCCTCCTCTTGGTTTTGACTGTATGGGAGAACAGGTCGATGAGGGGATGCAGGAGCACAGGAGGGAGTGAGAATGGTACTTTCATCCAGATGGGGTGGTTTAGTTCAGATGAGTGTGGCCACTGCTTTCTGCTGAAGCTGCGGGGTTATCTGCTCAGAGTGGACGTGCCTGTGCGCAGGGTGCTGGGCAGCTTGTCTGATCCAGGGATCTTCCAAGGTCCAGGAGAGACTGTGGCCTTCCTCCCCGCTGCGATGCTGCTGCTGCTGCTGGTGCTCTTGTTGGGTAGGCTAGGCCAGCTCTCTCCCTGGCCCCTTTCTAGTTCCCTGGGCCTTGGCTTGCTCTGCTCCAGCTCCCCCTGCTTTGCTCCACTCCAGCGCTCTACATCTTCCCTGCTGTTCCCGTTAATGTGTGGGAGCTTAGAGCTGCTAGGAGAGTGAGTGGACTCTCTATTGTCCCTAGTATTTCTCTCCTTGGACCTTCCTCTGTTGCTTCTGGAAGGTTTAGGCTCTCCGCTCTGCCCGTCCTTGCCCCCTTCCCCATCAGGAGTTGGCTGCATCCTGAGGCCCTTGTGGGTGGACCTGCCACCCTCCTTCTTAGCTCTGCTGCTCCCGCTGGTCGCAGCCGCTCTCCTCGCGTGGCCGATTGGGTCTGGGTTTAGCAGCTCGGCTTTCTGGGGGCTCTTCGAATGCTCCGTCCTGCTGTCTCGTGCCACCGGGTCTCGATGGACATCCTGAGGTGGCAGATGAGGAAGGTCGGGGGCTGGGGCTAGATGAGATGAAGGCGATGACATGGAAAGGCTTTCGATAGGAGGGGCTATTTCCGACAGGCTTGGGGAGGCTGAAGGGCGACCATCCCATGGGGCGGCATTGTCTGGAATGCATATGGATGCAGTCAATAACAACATAACAACACCACTCACCCAAAAACATTAAAAAAAATAAACTCCAATCATTACAGCAATCATGCCTATTCTACAAGCTGGAAGCACTGAGGTAAATATCAGAACAGGACGATAACCTACTTTCAGACGTGTCACAGGGCAACTCTACTTTTAGACAACATCCATCTGCCTCCCATAACTCTCTTAAAGGCCTTGGCCAACCTAAAATGTTGGCGGAAAATCGAAAACAGGTTTAATGAAATGGATGATGTGTCCAATAGGGTGGTGCTTTAGTGAGAATGAAAACCATAGGGGCAGAGTGCCTCTCTCTTTTTCTCTAAAGCTGGAGGAACTCGGTATCGGTGTAGCTTCCGCATTGAATCTGCGGTGCATTCCTCCACAACTCTCCACTCTCACAGACTGTTAGCTTCTGTTTCCGCACCGATGAGCCTCAGTCCCTGGGCCATCAGTCATTTTCAGTGGTCTAGGCAGGGGGCAGAGGCTAGGCTTGCTACACCGGCGCCATGAGGCCCAATTATAAGAAGCTCTGGAGCATTTTGAATGCAGGACGAGCAGGAGGTCATTTCTGAGCAAACTGGAGCTTCACAGTGTTTTACCTACAGTATGCTGGTTATGATGTCGGATCACTTAATCTCCCTAAATTTCAGCGGAGTCACTTTAGCACATTACAAAATAAATACCTAGATCTGTGCTTATCAAAATCATCTGAAAAGCTTATTTTTAACCGTTTAGCAAGAGCAGAATCAGATAGAGGTCAGATACTGCCAAAGATCACTTCTCTGACTCACAAAAACTATAATTCATTAATAAATGTATTTAAAAACACTTTCAGTGACAGTACTCACACTTCCACACATTTTTCGTGTTTACAAAAGATTTTGGGGTGAAATAAATAGGGGAGGAATGCAATGGGGAAATACCAAATACATACAAAAATACCAACTTAAAAATACATGACAGAGCCTGCAATGTATTTTACAGACTTCTACTGTAGACAGTTTTTTAAGCGTGCCATTTATTCTTTTGTCCTGGACTTGTCCAGTTTCCTCAAATCTTTTAAGAATACGCTGCACACCACGCAGAAATATGCCAAGTTTGAACCTTGTATTACAGTTTTATGCCTGTCAAATTGTGGTATTTTGGCTTTTTGTTTTGGTAGATTTAGCTGAAGAAATTGCAACAAATCATGTTTTTCTGACAGGCCGGTAGTAACAAAAGTTACAATTTAAAACTGGATCTTCACAAAGTCTGTTCTGTGTAGACACAACACTGATTCATCCCTTGAGTTAGATGCCTTTTAATGCTAGAATGAGTCAAACAAAAAAAAACATTCCCCTGAAAGGACGGGAATGAAAATGAATGAAAAAAGACCTTTAGAAAGCGGAGAACTACTGCTCAAGACCACTTTAAACATCTGGGTCCTTGGAAGCAAAATATAATGCTGAGGTCTACAGTTTAGTGCCGAGCAGTTAGTGTGAGGGTTTACAGCAGTTACACAGGACGTATTACTCAGCATACAAAAACTGTATCTGAACTGATTTCTGTTTCTGACAAAAAGCTTTTAGGAGAAAATTACTACGCAAAACAGAAGAAAAGTTTTGAACAGAAACATGCTGATACTAAGTGCTATTAACTTTCTGGTCTTTTCTCCCTGAAACAGTTTTTACATAGTTTGCTTTCATGTTTCTTTACTAAAAGTAGCAAATAACTTTGACCACCTAAGTAGCAAGCTTAAGTGTAAGTTTTGATAAATTTGATAAACGCATACCCTTAGAAAGGGCGCACAAAATATCTCAACGCCACGCAGATGAACACAAAATAACATTTGTGCTCATACTCACAGCTACATCACACAGTTTATACTCTTGATTTTTGGTGCTTTATTTTGCATAACCCTTAAAAATCTCACAGCAACCCGAAACAAAAATAGCTCGCTCCTTTGAACATTAGTATGCTAATGCTTTAAACAGGCAAATTAATCACAGCGCGTGATTTGAATAACCTTCCAGTATGCAAATAAATTGCTTGTAAACTAGGAATGATTAAATGCTGAATCAAACCCACGCAGATTAGGCCATGTGGGTTAAAAAATGTCGCTTCTAGGCTGCAGGGGAACTTGGATAACAGTAGCTATCTACAGATAGGGTGCCGTGTTGTCTGGCTGACCACACCGGGACTCCTTGTGTGCATGTTTCAAGATTGTAGCTCAAGGCAAGTATTAAAAAAAGCTCTCCACACAGAGAGATTAAAACCTGGGCTGGAAGGGGACTAACAGAGAAGGGCAGACATGGGGGAGCGACAGGGGTGACCACCAAGGCCAGTTGTTGATGAATAAGCCTCACAGAGAGGGGGGTTAACAGATAAGTGAGCATCATGCTGACGCAGAAGCCACAGGAGTGAGTGACGCATTGGAGTTTTACTGCCCGCAGTGTCATACAAATAAATGTCCCCTTCCAGGCTCAATTCATGCTGCGCTGAAACTTTACTGGGTAAATAATCTGCTGTAATATTTCACGTTCATTTCCCCTGGCTGGCTCAGGATGCACGCTCATATAGCTTTATTTTTGAGCCCATAGGTAGCTGTTGGTGGCTGATTTATCTTTCAGTCAGGAACAGAGTTATGTTCACTAATTTTAGAACCTCCTGCAGCTTGGTGTGATTTTTGTTGATTACTCCTGGAGCAAAAAAACAGAAAAGAAAAGAAAAATCTTCAAGAGTTTGGGGCTTTTCAAAGTTATAAAACAAGTTTTGATGTGAAAACAACGCACAATACCAAAGCACAGAAAGCCAGGGTTAAGTGAAGAGAAAGAAACATTCGTATGGTCACAAACCGTGTCTTTAGAGTGGCCCGTTAGGAAGAAATAGGGGGAGCCATGCTTGTCACTTTTCATGCACATGGAGAGACTGGAAGATACCATTCCTATAGAAGGGGAAGTAACAACCTAGACCAATCAATTAGTGATAGATCACTGAAATGGACAGAAGATAAACTAGTGTTAGTTAAGACAGAAGAGACAATTAGTTTACAGCAACAGTGAAATACAGAACTAAGAGATTAAATACAAAAGGATGACGGCTACAGAGGCAGAAGATACAATATGAATAAAAATGCATGTCAGATTAATATTACTAAGAGTCGATGTGATGCTAGATTAACAGTGAAAAAAATACTACGTGTTAAGAAAGAAATGATCTGAGAGACAAATAATTTAAAGTCTAGAACCTTACCGTACTCTGGGACCTGCCCTGTACCCCTCTTTAGGAGGAGACGAACCCGCCTGCCCCCAGACTTGATGAGCTCGATAGCCCTAGCATGGGTCATGTCCCGAGTGCTCTCTCCATTGATCTCAATGATCTGGTCCCCAACCTGCATGTCAGGAGGTTTGCAAAGAAAACAAAGAAAGAAGCTGAGAAGTCTGTTTGTACTTTCCTTGCAAGGTCAAATCAATAAGACATTTTAGGTATAACAATATGCTTACAGCTTTTGGTCACATGCTAAATCTAAACCAAAGCTAAGCAAAATCTGTCTGGATTGTAGACTGGGGTTTATTTGCTTTAGACTAAACGTATGGATGGTTTTTAAATAGTGCTTTTAGGCATTTTTGCCTTTATTTGATTAGTGACAATTTAGGGATACATCAGTGATGTGTCATGTGTGTAACTGTAAGCCACCAAAAAGCAAGTCTGATATATAGCCCTATTTTTCTACTTTTGGGGTTGCTTGGTCTCTTGTTATTAAATTGTTTGCATCATCTTTGCTGTGCAACAGACCAGAACATTCATACACAGCATTTATTTTCCATCCTTGCTTTCAGATCATGCCCTTTTTTGTCTTCTTCCAATGTTTTACAAGTCATTTAATTTTTCTTCATGACATACACTCGGAAATGACTCTTCAACATCAATAAACATGAAGCAGTAATTTAGAGTAAAATGCAACTGAAACATATAAAATCAAAGGCATTCATTGAAATGATTTGTCATTGAAAAATGTGCTTTGTATAAACTAAATGTATATCAGTGAAGTAAATCTGATTTGATCAGATTCCATTAAATTAAACATTTTGCATTGTACCAATGTAACAAAATTACATAGAACATTAAATTAGTTACAGTCATCAAACAATGTAGTGGTAGGCTTGAAGACATAGGCCTCACAAAGGTAACAACTACACCTATAATATAATTGAATAAATCAAACGCAGTCTAGAAACTGTCAACCTGCTTCTGTTTGAAAGAAAGAAGAAGTATTTTTTCAGCCATGAACTTAGGGCAGCTTTGTTCTGTGATCGATAAATACTTTGCTGGCTGTATTCAGAACAGCCAAATACAGCAACCACTGGAACAAGTCTGAAGCTGTGTGCATCGATTAGACGGAGTATCAATAAAGCTCAATAACCACTGAAGGGAAAACCAAACTGCCCTCAATCAATCCAAAACAAAGCAGTAAGAATGGAGCAGATAAATCTAAATGATTAGATGACCCTTGCTATTTGTATGAAATGTTTCCTTGTGAGTTTATAAGGATCAATACAGATTTACAATCACTGGCCCCTTTATTAGTTACGCCTTAATAGTACTGGATTGGATTTCTGAACTTTTGCCTTCAGAGCTGTTTCAAGGTATTGGAAACATTCTCCACAGATTTTGATCCTTATTAAGACTTTCCCGTTCCACTACATCCAAAGGTGCTATAGTCGCTTGAGATCTGGTGCCTGGGGAGGCCATTTGAGTACAGTTTCCTATTCAAGAAACCAGTTTGAGATGATTTGAGCTTTGTGACATGGTGTGTCATCTGGTTACTGCTGGGGACACTATGGTCATTACACCACCACCACCAGCAGCAGCAGGAGCTAGAACCAAGACTTGTTTTGATCATGTCTATATAACTACATGCATTGGGCTGCTGCTATCTGATTGGTTGTTTAGATATTTGTGTTAATGAGGTGTTAATGAGCAGTTGAAGAGGAATACATAATACACTGGTTGTTAAGTGTATAAAATAATCATAACAGCAGCAGCTCAGCTAAAACCTAAAGTTAATATTCCCAGGCCTATCCCTTCTTTATGTGACCACTCCTTGGTGTATGTGAGGATGGCTCAAATATGAAACACTTCAAAGCCCTTCATGTGAGGGCCCTGAGGTTCACTAATGGGAGAAATCATGAGGAACAGGACAAAACATGCTGAGCCAATTACACTAACAAATGGAGAAGTCTCCCAGTAATGGTAGGAGGGTAATTTTAAAGTTAGGAGTGGACTAGAGTCAAGAGAGGGGGAGTCATTACGTGTCATTACAGTGGTCTGAAGAGGTGGAAGCCAAGACTGTTCTCATTAATCCTCAGCCCCTAACAGCAGCAGAGAGTGATCTCCATTTTCATCTTTAATAAAGAGGGAAAGAAAGCTGAATGGACAGCACGTGAGCTCAAAAAGCAGGAGTTGGGAGCGAAGCTCGGAGAAGTAATTAAATGTGCTGAATGATTATCGGTAAAAATCAATCACTTCATACAATTTTCTTAACAGCATCTACAGTGACATTTAACCTAAAAAAAACAAACCTGTTAGAAATTGTAAGCGCTCCTTGTTGCTGATTATTTTGTTCGCAAGAGGGTTTTTTTCCTCCTTTTTAAGAGCCTGTTGAGTAGAAACTACTTGGCTCAAACTCAAAATGTCAGAGTGACTGCAGGGAGTCACAGAGCATGTGGGCTTTTTGGTTTCCACACCTGAGTATGTTAAAGCGCTACTCAAATCCACAGTGACAGCCATGCTTTTTAACTACTGTCTCGCATTTGCTTAAGTTAAATGCAGATTGATTCCTCGCCACATGCAGCGGTGTGGATCGTGGATTGCTGGAGGAGGGATCACACGGCTTACACTGTTTGATCAATCAACGGTGACAAATATGAAGCGCATACATGCGTCTACTTAAGTAAAATCCTGGGGCATTGGCTTTATTTACTTATTTTACATGTCATTAGGACACAAAATAAAACTTTACAGTTCAAAATTAACCCGAGAGGGTGACCGCATAGGTGCCCACGTGTTTGTAAAACTTCTGTTTTGTACATTTTATATTTTGCTTTATTTGGTAACAACTGAAACTAACCAGTTTATTATGTACACCTGTTCAACTGCGTTTTAACCGAAATATCGAATCAGCCAATCACATGGCACCGACTCAGTGTACTGAGGTATGCAGACACGATCAAGGCAACCTGCTTGAATGGTCATCAGAATGGGCAAGAAAGGGAATTTAAATGACTTTGAACATGGCATTGTTTTTGTTTTGAGTATTTAATAAACACATTTAATTGTGCAAAGCGTGGCTCCAGTTAGAGTCAAAAAAATCAATCAAACCAGGGTTTGCTGTAGGGCGCGCCTACCTTCTCACTTATTCATGTGAACTTGTCCTTTTTTTTTGTTTGTCAGATCCACACGTCACTCGTCCACATCTACTTCAAAATGCTCAACTTGAGGCTTCAACAAAGCACTCTAAACTAATGTGTTAGTTACTTCCATGTTTAATGAGAACTGAATGCAGCTCTTTCCAACTTAAAATGTAACTTACTGTAGTAGACTGCTACAATTGGTACAACATGAAACCTGTCATAGGCGTTTTTTTATGTCCAGAAACTTTACTGGTAATCAGTTTGACTTTTTCTTTCTCACTTTCTTTGTTTAATACTAAATACTTAAAAAGAAACTATCACTACTTCACAGCAGTTTGTTTACTGATTTTAAGTAGAGCTCCACAAGTATTCCTGCTTCCTTTTCCACGTCCGTCTGGAGCCACTGGACTACAACGATTACAACACAGAAAAGGAAAAGTAATATCTCCCTCAGGGGCATTTTACACCATTATCTTTGACAGGTTCATTACAGATAAGCACTGTAGTGCATACTGAGGCTAACAGCCGCAGACGTAAAAATCGGAGGACATGCAAGAAAAAGAAAACAGGACTGAGGGAAACGTCAAAGACAGAAAAGCTGCTGGGGAAGTGGAAGGGTTTTATTTTCATTTCCACTGGATTTATTGTTATTACATATATATATGTAATTCAGAAAATGTGTGTGCTGCTTTGTTTTTTTAGCTAAAAGGATAACTGTGTAGCTGTGGAGACCATCAAACACATGACATCATGATGGCCCCATTAAATGATTAAATCTGTCTTTAACCTGCTGAATATCACCTGATGCTAAACAAAAGGAAGAAGTTAAGTTTTGGGAATTTGGGAGGAGGCAAACTTGCGATCAGCATCAGAAGGACAAACCATCTCATACATAAGTTATTTTGACAGATTATTTCTTAGCTGGCACAAAAAAAAGTTGCAGTTGCAGCGCTGATAACATCAGACAATTACAGACAACACCGTGTAATGCAGCAAAGATTGAAAACAGCTTAACTTTTAACGATGGGGTAATCGCTTTCTTAAAGGAAATGATGTCATGAAACCCTACCCTCATCCTCCCGTTGCGAATGGCCGGCCCATCCTCTGCGAGTCGTAGGACAAAGAGGTCCATTTTGTACTCCCGCCCTCCACGGATGCTAAAACCGAAGCCCTTCACGCTCTTCTCCAGCTCCACTGTGAAGAAGTCGAAGTCCTGTGTAAGCTGAGACAAGCAGAGATCACGCATGATCAGATGCAGTCGTACTCGAGCACAAAACAGACTATGACTGCAGAAAATTGTCTCCAATAATAGTTTTTTTGAAGGAGAACGGAGCAAAAGCAATGGGCGAGGTGCTAATAAGTCCAAAAGTTTAGCTTCAATACATGAGGTTTTGAGAAATAACACAGCATTTACTTTGACAGACAAAACCAGCTTTAAATAGAAAAACAAAGGGTTTATACAAAAACTCAAAATATCTAGAAATAAGCTTAGAATATAATAGAAAAACAATCTCTCTGGAAATATATTTTACTACATTATTGTACAAGAGACTGTGCAATGAAAATATGTTTGAGGCAATTCAGTGCCACGTAACAGCTTTTTCACCATGTGAGCCCTAAAACATTATTTTAGACCCTAAATTTGTAACTTTAAAATGTTCCTCTCAGCAAATACCCACATGTCCCTGATCATCAACCAAATTTAGAAGTATTTATACATTTATTGGCCACTGGCAGCTGAGCTGTGAACACAAGGTTGATATACAGCTCAAACTTTAAGTTTACTTGTTAGGAAGTAGTTTCTTATTTACACATCCAAAATATCATTGGTGAAATATTGGCAATTTTTTGTCATATTTACGACCACCATACAACTTTAAGTCCATTTATCGCTCTCCTTTAACCTGCTTAGTAAGGAGAAGGAAGGTTTCTTTACACCTGCAATAATTTATAAGTGGTGGTACAGCTCTGTGCTGGGAGCCCGTTTCCCTTCTATGGAGGAGTTTGTATTAGTGCAAACAGCAGCAGGAAGACAGTCCATACATAACAGAGCACAGAGAACCGATATGCAGCATGAAAAGTAGGAGCTGTGTTGTAAGTGTGCCGCAAAATGACTTGCATCTGTAGGCAGGCCTAAGATTTGTCAGTTGGATGTGTACAGGGGTACCAGCTGAGCCATTAGCTCCTGTAAGCTGGCACTGAGCTCAGCTGTCATCAGCTGATCATGCAGGATTGCAGGCTGAGCTCAACTTTGTGACCTGCCTGAACCAACGCTGTGCTCAGTTTTAGGTTTTCACCAACTCATGTCTGGCTCTTAATTGGATTTGTGCACAGATAGCAGAGATAAAATTTAAAAAAAAAGAGTTAACAGATACTAAAAAGGCTCCGTAAAGCTGTAGGGGACTGATATGATATGATTATGTCCTAGATTTCAAATATCAATGTTCATATTGACAATCCTGTATGATTTGACCTTCAGAAAAGAGTCTGTTGAAGGATGAGTCACTCTCATCCTCAAGGCAAAGTCCTTCCTTACTTGAACTGGTGGCATTCGGTACTCTGGGATGGCAAATTGTCTAGCATCTGTGGCTAGCTGTCGATAGTCCAGCAGAGGCGGGTGTCTGTAATCCAACGTGGGTGGCTGCCGGTAGTCTGCCACGGGAGGGTGCCGGTAGTCCACCGGCGGCTGTCGGTAGTCTGTGAATGGTGGCTGTCGGATGTCTGGTTTAACATCTTGCCTCGCCTTCACCTCAGACCTGTAACTAACAGACCAATGAGAATGAAGGAGGAACTTCCAGGGGGGATTCCTACAGCTGTCATCACCACCTTTGGACATGGAAGATTACTCGTGTTATCTTTCAGCGTGCTTAGCAAACAAAAAAAGAAACCCCATCTCTAACAAACTGCTGGGTCATCCGGCGCTGACAGAAATGGCTTGTTTTTAGTTTTGAAATAACAACCATTAAACACAACTTAAGTGAGGAAATTAAACATCACATAAAATGTTTATAATAAAAACAAACTCTCTCTCACGCTGATGAGTGCAAAGATATCTGAATACTGTGTAAAGCAGAGGGAAAGGAAATGAGGCTGTAAATTTTGGGACCCCTGTAGTTCTTGGTAAAATATTCAACAGATCTCGATAAAGAAGCAATTTATGTAAATAATTTAGCACTCCATAAGAGTTAAGTGATGTTATACAACAAAATAGTGAGCGAGCGTGAGAGATGAACAAAGAGAAGGGACAATAAGAGAGACAAAGATGAAGCTGGAAAAAGAAACTGAAAGGGGAGAAGAGAGAGGATCGGGCAAGGTGAAGAGAAAGAGAAAGGAGATATCTGACTCGCTCAGGGTACCTTTATTCCCAGAGGAATGGTGTTTCACCCCAGTGGCAGATAAAGAGCTAGTCTATAAAAAATGCTTCACTGCGTCATAAAAAAAAAAAATCAAGGCAGCTGCTTGTAAACCGACTCTTACCTGCTCTCGTGGGTGTAGGTCTGAGGTGTCGGGGCAGGAAGCTGAGTCACAGGGCTCTGGTGGGGCATGGGGTTGGGCTGGCTGGCAGAGGGGCTCGGTTCTGTCACTGCTTGGTTAGACAGGGAGGCTGCAGTGTTTAGCTGGGCCTTAGGGCTGTGCTGGTGAGCCATGGGGCTCTGCTTCTCCGAGCTGGGGGCTGATGGAGGATTGCTCACCTCTGAAAAACAGAATGTGATGTAAGAAAATCAAACCATAAGGTATCAGCTAAGGCTGTCTTGTCACTATAACTTGATTGTCTTGGCCACTTGAGGGCAGCACAGCAAACCTATTGTCCTCTGATAAAGTTGATCTGCTGGAGTAACGGCGCTATTTATTTCTTTTCAACTGCTAAATCTGAGCGGAAAAGGAGATTCCTGTTTAGGTTTTCACCACATGCCTAAGGGCATATTTGAGTCTTCACTTTATTTACTATGACAGAAATGAAACAATGGCCTGAAAAAAAAATCAAGTGGCCGATTAAAGCTGGGTGGTGGTGAAAGTGTTCTTGATTTGAATAATTCTTAATAAAAAATATTGATATGTAGACCTTTATTTTCTATTTTAAATAAAACACAACTACTGCCAGGGTTGGCAATTTTTATGGCTACACAATATCCTCAGCTGCTTCTTGCTGTGATTGGCCAGCAGTGGAGAAGTACAATGGGTTTAAATCTATCTAGCAACACAACTGCGGCTTTATCAAAGTCTATTGTGTAATCATTTGGTGAAAGTGTGTGTTTTTTTCCGGTTTTGATCATCAGTGAGTCTCGCTTACTCCTCATTGTAATGTGCATCCCTTATTGGGCTCACTAACAGTGGTCAAAAATCTACAGGTATTTCAAACTAATGGGAATACAAATGTCAGTGGAATATCAGTGGGAAGTGATGCAAAAAGAAAATCCTTTCTCGGCAGCCTTGGTTGCTGTGATTCAAGTTTATTGTGAGTAGTTAAGAGTCTCTTGTTGAATTGAAATCTTTCTCAAAAGCAACAAATGAAAAGAATCACTTGGTAAATGGGAGAAGGGAACACATTTCTCAGTGACACAGCCGGAGTGTGTTCTGTATTAGTGTTATTGTTAGAGACGTGCACTTCTGTTCCAAGCATCTGCATGCAGAGGTGTCATAAAAACAGAGTATGACTGGCTTGTGAATGTGACACAAGGCTTTGCAGCTTTCATTTAACAAAGCTAATTCAATATCTGTCATGAATCACCGTCAGCAGGTGTTTTGTGTGCGTGTGTGTCCATGTCTCACCTTCCTGTGGTATGATCCTCAGGGTGACACTAAGGCCTGCATCTTTGATCAGCTTAACGATGTCAGCGTGCGGCATGTTGACGATGGACTGGTTGTTCACCGCCAGTATCCTGTCTCCCACCTTCAGCTTCCCGCAGCGGTCTGCCGGGCTGCCCTCGATGATGCGGCCAATTTTGTGGGGCACAGCTGTTGGAGCATTCACACACGCAACAGCGGGTAAAGACGCGCTCGGCAGCAGATTGGAGGATTACGCTAGTCTGTGCTCACACACCACTCACTGCCTGACTGACTGAACGTGTCTCTGCCTCTCTCATTTTGCTATTCACCTCAGGCTTACGTAAGGCATCCAGTTTTTCTTCATGTGTGTGTGGGCGATGCACTGATGCTCAGAGCAGTGCGCCAGATATGTGTGTGACTGACGTGCTGTGGGAGGGCATGTATAATTGAGGAGCTAGAATGAGAGGGGCTTCACTTTTTACCAAGCCGCGACCTTGCCTACCCTAACCAATAAGTTTTCTTCACACTATAAAGAGACTACCTGATTATTGACAAGCATCTATGAGCTTTGCCACAATGTTTAGCACTCGAAGCAGTTGTTATGCTAAGCAGAGAATGACTGATGATGCTTAAGCACCTACTTGACTCTTTAATAATCACTGGACTCACTGTTAGTTGTGGCCGCCTCAGGCCGGTTGAGCGAGCTGATGATGACGAAACCGAAGCCCTCGCTCTCCTTTCGGCTGATTATGACATCGCTTGGTTGTGTGTTCGAGATCCCGTCTGAAGTAGCACCGGTGTTGCCCATGCCAGCGTTGGGAGCCTGGGGTGTGCTGGTGCTGTTGCCATACGTGAAGTCACTACGTGGGGAGCTGTGCTGCGTGGAGACAGAACCTGGGCTGCGGCCGTTTTCTGGACAAGACTCGCCTGTAGGGCGACGCAGAGAGGAATCAGAACAGAGGTATGTAGCTGAGTTTGAGAACCCTTCCCAAATGTGCAGACTAATGTCAAAGGCATAAAATTGTATGTTTGCACCAACAAGGTGACTCTTAAAGAGCTGTTAGCCCTAAACCTGACATATCTCAGCTTGGTGTGAAGTGAATTCTTAAAGGTTGAGTGAACTGCACAATTGGAGGACAAAAGAAAAAAACTATCTAAAGCAGATGAAAAGGATCTGCAAGTCACCTCCTGAACAAAGAAGAAAAACCTTTTAGGAAATCTTTGTCAAAATTGATGAAATTACGAACAACGAAAAGTATTGTCAGCTTTAAACCATCTGGAAAGCATCTAATTGGCAACGATTTAATTTTTCAGTATAATACTGATCCCAAACACACTGCAGTAATAGTATACCTGGATAGAAAAAAAACACAGGTGAAACTATCAGTCATGCACAGACCTCTACGGAGACCTAAGAGGACGCAGTGTCGGATCATCTTGACAGAGAACAGAACAAAGTAAAGACAACATCCAAAGAAGAGCTTTGGATGTCCTTCAAGAAGCCTGGAGAACTATTCCTGAAGTCTACTTAAAGGAATTCCAAGAAGGCTTACAGGAGGTGCTGAAGAATAAAGGTGGTCATATCTTTATTTCAAACATGACTTTCAAAGCTCATTATAATTATAAAAATGTAAATGCTTATTTAAGATATTTTAAGACATCGGAGACCTTAAGGAGCCTAATGGGAGAGGAAAGGACTTACAAACCCTATTAACACTTACAATGTATACATTAATGATCCAGATGAAGGCCACAAGCTAAAACATATCAAAAATACATCATTGCTTCATAATACAAAAGTGCACAATGAGCATTTTCCTGTTGCAGCCAGCTGAGATGGAGTTTTTTTCAGGACCCTCTCTACAACGGCAACCCTGCTGTGTCGCAGCATTCAAATAAGGCAGCTTTTTTCGTGTGTGGATTTTTTATTTTTTTTGATGATGTAACCCTCTAGCCCTCACATTGCTATTTTAAGTAAACCATCAGAAAAGTGTAGCAGTTAGCAGCTTACACAGTAAGAACAAAAACAATTTTTTTCTCCAGTAATTTGATCCTTAACAATTTGCTGCATTTAATAAGATTGTGAAATCCTTTATTTGCAGGTGACTCCAGGTGTCAAATTATTGTGGTGCGCTGAATAATACAATATTAAGTTCTTAAATGAATTAAAGTACCTTTAAACTCTTGTTACCTTCTATCAGTGCAGTTCATGCTCGCTACTACTGCTCTTGAGAACGGCATCTCATCCCAAAAATGATGTTACAACAGCTGGTGCACCTTACAGGTTTTGTAACCAGGTGTGCGCATAGCAACAAGGCTGGAGGCATGAGCGATCTCTACATATATTTCCATGAGATGCTGTTGGAGGATCATAGAAATTCCCAGGTGGATTCCAGGGAGCTCCTGGAACAGTTTAATGCTTTGTTTCCTGCTTCCTTAATTCTTCTACTCACAATCCAGTGGTAAAGCAGTGTTGTGACACTTTGAAGTAGTGTCACTGTTACATTTTCTCATGTACAATACAGAAATGTCCATCTCTATATTGCTTTTCTACTATGCTAGAGTAGCTTTGCTTGATTCACAGGATCCTCCCGTCACATCCTACATAAACCCTCAAATAATTTACTAGTATTTTTTTGAAACTTTGGCCAACTTTAATATGATCATCCACAGTTTTGAAATGTTCAAGTGACATAAAATAAGTGAAAGCATAAAAGTCCCCTTCAAAGAAACTAAAGATTCCTAACTAGAAAAAAATATCAGCAGGATACAGAGTTACTTTCATAGAATCCAAAGATCATTTTGCATGTGGAAAATCTACACAGTTTTGCCAGCAAAGTGTTTTTCATCTTCCCCCTAAGCTGGAACTAGACCTCATCCCTGTGAAGAATCAAGAAGCGAACATAAGACAGCAATTCAAAACACATCATTAAAACGCTGCCTTATGTCAATCTGACCACAGCTAAAGTAGCTTGTAGCACCTCTAGCATACACTCTGGCACACTGACTGATCGAACCCAGTGTTGTTTTCATAGTTCACTAGTAAGCGGGGCTGCGCTCTTCTGTAGTTAAACAGTTCAGGATTTAAACTGTAAATGTGAGGCTATGACAAGCTTTGTTATCATTAAAAGGTTTGAGCCCACATTTAGTATTTCTTTACCCAATGAGTGCACAAATTATTATCACATGAGGAGGAAAATAGTGAAAAAAGCCAATGATTTGTGCAAAATGTGGGTTACTGGGTGCGGGCTAAAGTGTGAGCTCGGAGCAGAGAGAGTCTGACACTTCGTAAAGTGCCAGTGGGAGTCAGACAATTAGGATGGAAGTAAGGGCCACACAAGAGGCCAGGCATGAGTCAGACAGCAGCCTTTGGTGGAGAAGAAATTGACAGACAGGGCGGACTAGAGTGGGAAGAATTTGATTGGTGAGAGGAACATGTGCATGTGTGTGGTGGAGGGCGTAATAATGAGAACAGGACAGGCTGTAGTTCAGAGGAAGAAGCGCCAGCTCAGTCTCCACGGTAAAGAAACTCAAGTAAGGAAAGGGAGCGAGAAATGTGTGTGCGTGAGAGCGAAGGTGTGCTAATGTGTTTTTCAGAGAGGCTTCAGCATAATTACTCAGAGATTAGTGGTTCGGTTTTCTGACTGATTAAACCTGAATCATTACAGGACATGAATGAGACCAGGAGAGGTAATAGAGGAGGACGAGAACAGACAGAGGAGAGGCACGCTGCACGCTTTTATAATCCAGAGCAGTACATTTATGCTGTGTTAAACAGTGGATTAAAACAATCTATAAAGAAGGAATCCCAGATTGATGACTTTGCTGTTTCCTCACCTGCCGCCTGAACCCTCCTCCTGATAACCAGATTCACCTGGCCGGTACGTGCTGCCCCGTGCATCAGGTCAATGACATATCTGTGTGGCTTCCCCACCACTGGGATTCCATCAACAAACAGCAGCTCATCGCCGGGCCGCAGGCGCCCATCTAGATCCGCTGGACTCTTCTCGATGATCGCCCCGATGAGAATCTGTTTTTAAACGCAGGCTGTCAGAAAGATTTCGGACTCATAAGCCCCGAGACTCCGGAGTGTAGACTGTGTGGGTCACATGCAAGTGGGTGTTAAGTGGTTGTTATACTGACACATTAATAACTCAGTTACATGGCTAAAATATTGTTGTGTTACAGTAAAAACAGCAATAAACACCAAAGCAGCCACAGCCAGCACTCTCTCAGGGGGCAAAGGTCAGGTTAGGTGTTCACAGTGTGTGTAGTGGGTTAAGAGAGGAGAAAATGACAGGGTTCCACGCCCACTGCCATACGAGCCTTCTCACGCGTCTCCGGACTCACAGGCTGCCCCGCCTCATCCCCGCCCAGCACTCGGAAACCGAACCCGGACTTCTGTCGGCGCAGGTGGACTTCGATTTCCTGGTACTCTCCTCCTGAGGCAAAACAAGAGGAAAATAATTAAAGTCCTGGCCTGACAGTGTGCGGAGCTCCAGCGTCGCTGTAAGGAGTATGTGTTTACCTGAAGAGTCCAGAGGAAAAACAGTCCTTGGCTGCCCAGGATCTAGATTAAAAGATGAAGACAAAGGACAGGATGTCCCTGTAAACAATGCAAAATGCACAAAAAAATGCTCATACACATCCAAAGAGTACACCAGTAAACACAGACGCTCCCATAAAGGCTAGAAACAAGGCAGAAAGGCCCTGCCTCAGCATTATGTCACTGCAGAATTTCAGCATCATCCATAAAAGTCGGGAAGTGCTTACAGCGTGTAATATACCCATCCCTTATTTACAGCGTGAGGTGGGGTGCAAGCACTGATCTGCAATCAGGAGCTTTGCACGACGCCATGATGTGCAAAAGTAGTGAAATGAACTCAACCACAGACAAGTGGCTGTGAATGAAAAATTGATTCCAGTTGTAAGTGTTTTAATCATAGTGAGCGCTCTACTGCGACTCCACAGGAATGATGAGAAAAAGAGAATCAGGACTACAGGTGAGCAGAGCGAGGCAGCTATTACCACAAATATACAGTTCTGTTTATAGAGAAGTGGTGGATTTCTTCAGTATGTCTATATTTTTTCTTTATATTTTAAGAACAATCAAAATTACAAAGTCAATTTCTACACTCAAAAACATCAAATTCAGGAAATAGGTTCAAGTATATCTGTAGTAGTTTATAATATTAGCTCACTGTTAGCTTGAATTAATTAATGGAGTAAACCCGAAAAAGTCGAACAGGTTGGCTGACTAGATAGCATGAACAAATAAACAATGCTGTTAACAAAACTTTACATCGAAATGCACTTGCTGGCCACTTTATAAGGAGTACACCTGTTCCTCTGGACTTGAATAACTTTGCAAATATCTAATCAGCCAATCACATGGCAGCCACTCAATACATGTTGGCATGTAGACGTGGAGAATCTACAACATGTGAACCTTTAAGCAGATGGGTTACAGCAGCAGAAGACCGTACCTGGTGCCACTTGTAGCTTCAGACGCTGAGGCTACATTTCACACGGGCTCACCAAAACTTGACAATAGAAGATTGGAAAAATGCTGCCTGGTCTGATCAGTCCCGATTTCTGCTGCAGCATTCAGACGTTGGGGTCAAAACTTAGCGTAAAACTCAGACTGCTGCTGCTGGTGGTGTAATGATGTGGAGGATAATTTCTTGGTACCTTTTCAGTCCCTTTGTACCCACTGACCATTAGTGAAACCCGGCAGCCTACCTGAGTACTGCTGCTGACCATGTTCATCCCTTTATGACCATAATGTACCCATCTCCTGATTTCTGCTTCCAGGCATGCCTCCAAGTTCAAATCATCTCAAATTGGTTTCTTGAGCAATTGGACCCCACAGTCACCAGATCTATTTCTCCAACAATCTACAATCATGCAACTTCAGGATATAGTGTAACAGAAGATTCTCATCATGGATGTGCAGCCAACAATATAACAGAAAAAATAAAGAAAAGGTCGAAACTGTACACACAAAACTCGAAAGTGGTGAAATTGGTCACCAGCTATTAAACTGAGCAGTAGTGACGTATGGCTAAAATAACACGCTAACAGGTAAGGACATCTGGATCAGATAACTATCTACAATTGAAAATTATGCCAAAAGTGTTCAGATGCAGTTTAAAATAAGCTCAGTTTAACAGATTTAAAGATCAAGAATGTTGTGAACAGGTTTTTAGAGTCCGTCTGACAGGGCTGCAGTAGTAGATGTAATCAGATGAAAAAAGGTCGGGAGCACTGGTCTAAACAATCTTCGAACAATCTTCTTCAAAGATACAAACACACACACACAAAATCTCGTGTGGTTTCTAGCAATGCAGCCTGCTTGGGATTTATTCACTCAGGATCTCACATGTCCGTCTTTGAAGTGTCTTTGACTTTAATGCGTATGAAACTGTCAAATGATATTTAAGAAAACACAACAAAACAGGAACACCTGCTTTTCCCTGTCACACTGAATAATCCACAAAACCTACTGTGACCATTTTTAATACAGGCTCATAAAGCTGAGAATGTATGCTAAAGAGTTTGAAATACCTGATCCTATACCTCAGTCTGTTTATGTAATCGCTGACATTAATTTATTAAGGGTCAGAGAAGACTGAACTTAACCACAGCTGACGGAGTCTGGGCTGGCCTGAGGTTGTGATGCTAAATAAAAGGTCACACCCAGCTTTACGTACACCAGTGAGGCGGTCAAATGGAGCACTGCTAAAATCTGTCTGTGTGTTTTTCCTACTGAGCATTACCAGGCACAACCCCTGACCTTTACTGAGAGGAAGGCAGCAGTGATCACGGCATCCGCCACAGAAGAGGAGGAAGCGACAGTGAGCGAAACAGGAAGATTTGATGAGAAGACTTTCTGACAGCCGTGTCCTCTTGAATAGCAGGTACCTCATATACAGCAGCCTTAACAATAAAAACTTTACTGTAACTTTACTATAGCAATATCCTCCAATAAACCAGAGGAAAGATACTGTCAAGCCATGAATCCATGAGACCTGTTATCAGTTATATGCAAGGCAGATGTTAACCTCTAAAGAGAATCAGTGAAGAAACTGGCTTACACACCACTGTGAGAGTGGAAAAGCCAACTCAACATAATCCGTATTTCACTATGTTTCCCAGAAACACATTTTACTTTCAAGTAGGAATCTAAATGACAAAATTAAGAGCATAATGTGAAAGAAACACAATAATATTTAGTGTAAATGTCTCTTTACAGAATTTAAGAAAACTAATTCTAGTACCTGTGTGCTATGATAATATAGATCTGTGATGTTACTAAAATCCTTATTCTGCAAATACAAACATGCATAAAAAGCATGTCCTACTTTCTACTGATTAAAATGCTCAATTGAGCAAAAGAATGATGTATGCACAATCGCAATAATATGTAGAATTTTATAATTTTACAAGTCACAGGATGGAAATATAACTGTGCAGAAGCACCTGTCTGATTATTCAGGGACACTTCTCAGTTTACAATGATCAGTATTTCTAGTTATCTACACAGCTTCTGATTTTTATTTTATACTCGTGGTTATTGTGTGGAAAGTTCAGACATAGATCTTCAGCTCTGAAGAAAGAGGTCAGCGAATTTCAGAAGACTTTTTCAGATTCCTGTGGAGCAACAAAAGTGACAATGAATCACTTCTGTGATTGAGAGAAAGAGTGATCGCTCTTCACTCCTCTGCCTTCCCTCGTAGAAGCTGGCCTGCTTGATTTCTAGAGAGGAGTGTGTTTTCACAGCACTTCACCTGCAGTATCAACGCTGGTACTTACGCCTACTCTCAAAGATAGCCCTGGACTTCTCATAAAGGTCATATGGGTCTGGCTTTGCCAGGGCCAAGGCCTCGGAGGCAGACTCAGGGACCGAGGCCCTGTGAAGATGGTGTGTTGGGAAGGGGGCGCTGTGGGGGATAACAGGAGCCGACAGGCTGGTCTGAGCAGGGCTGCTCTGGCCCTGCTGGGACTCCCACTGCTCCAGCACCTGCAAAGCACAGCGGCATGAGCGGTCAGTATTTCCCTTCCTGCTCTCCCACTCCTGATGCTTGATTTCATCCTCAAAATCACAGTAAGAACCGTAAACTCCTAGGCACGGTTTCGTTTAAGGAGCTGTGACAGTTCACTAAACCCTGCCGCGCCCATTTATGGCTGCTACACCCGTCAAGCTTTGCCTGCTCGGACATATTTACAACTTAATAATGCATGTCTATTTTCAGAGAAAAGTAAGGAAAACTACTCATTTCTAACAAAAAAAATTATACTTTCGACTCACAAAAAGGTGCCTGTCAATTTACATGTTTTTATGTAACCGTAACATCTGTCTCCTTCTGATTTTAAGATTAAAACATGTGGTGAAAGAAAAAACATACTGGAAAAGACTTGATGCTTTTAGCTTTGGCAAAAAGACAACTCAGGAAACTGATGATGATGCCCTGGGCATTAAAAAAAGCACCAAAGTGTGTCAGTTACAGACTCACTTGAACTCGCCGTTTACTGTTTTTTCCAAACTGTTTTAATGATGATGTGTATTCAGAATTATAATTTTACATCTTTGATTGAAACCATCAGGAATGCAGCATTTTGCAAAGTCAGCCTTTGCCTTGTATTTCTGAGATAACTATGACACAACTAAAGAAATACCCCAAATGTGACTACAATAGGCAGCCCTGCTAAAATATTTTAACATCTGGGAAAGAACAAAGCTTGACAGGCCTGCTGCACCTAATTGATGTGGTTCAATATTTCCTGTTAGGGGGCAGTGTTTCGCCAACTGTCAATTCAAGCATGTTAGTGAGGTTAGTAGTAGAAATAAGCAAAATACTGCCAGCTGTTTCTATTTGGCATTCAGATCACAGTGTTTATGGGGATGTGTGCAGGGAGGAAAGCACCTGACATATGTGATTGGCACATCTAGATGGACATTTAAAAAAAATGATAGACGATTCTAAGGGCCAGAGCAAAAGTTATTCTCTATCTGTAAGGTAGAGTGTGGTATATAATCAGAAATCGGATAACTTTCATCCAGAAAGACATCTGAAAATGTGCTGTCAAGCTTTGGAGGTGACAAAGGCAGTTTTGACATCACCAGTCAAAGTGTCAGCCTTGATGTGTCAGATAAGCGGGGCCGCCTGAGTCATGGCATGACACTAAGCAGATAGCCAAGATGACATGTTGACATGTCAAAAAAGGGTGAGCGACAGATCTGGAGGGAACAACAGGCCTTTTGAAAGCGAGACGGCGAGATTGGCTGCATAGTGCCATACTTTAATACTGAGAAATGCAGGTCATCTGGTTCCAGATGTACCGAGAATAAATATCAACTTCATGGAAGCTCTGGTCAGGAATGAAAAGCAGCTCCGCTCTTTGCAGTTTTCAGTCGCGTCTGCTATTGATGTGAAGCACGTCTGCATAGGGCAGGCTGCTGAGACTGGGGACCTTGTTAAGGCGGGGAGTAGACTTCTGCATCCTGATCTCTCTTTCACTCTGTCTCTTCTTATTTGAGATTAAGACACTGAAGCAAGCACACTATGGCGATGATCTACTTGATCACATGAATAGAGCGCACTGCAGGCTGACAGCATTGCTGAATGAAAAACACCTGCATGTGTTGCCACATTAAGCACTGTTCTCCGTTACCTACAGTATCGGCTGAGTTTGATTGGCAAATCTTAATAAGCTCATTTGCAAATAAAACTCTTGGGAGTTGTGGGGTGAGTGTTTGCAGGACTATAGGTCAATATGGCAATTAGGAGATTTCCTGTCTTCCCTTATTAGCCAAAGTCCTCCATATTTCATTCTCCGCTGCAGAAGTATTCCTTTAACAAATTACACCTAATTATACGAGTACTAAAGTCTAGTGTCGGGGGCTTTAGCAGCTAAAAGAGAGGGGCAGGCGCAGGTGGGGCATCCAAAAAGGTGAACAAACAAGACAAGAGAGAGGTTGTGTATGCTGACTGCTGCACTACAAAAGCTCAGAGTTTAGGATTACAATTATTCTGAGAGAGATGAAAGACGATGATTGTGTTGAGATGGAAGGAGAAACGATGAACAATGAGGGGATTTCAGCAGACAAAGCATCTTAAAAGCTGCACAACTGAGGTTTCCTCTGATGTTAGTTGGGAACTGGAATGGGGACAACATTAGCTGGGGTCAGGGACTGGTCAGAGCAGTGCTGGGAAGATGCCAAGGCATGAAAGGAATATGAGGGTGACACAGATAAAGCAAAATGAATCTGATCTGAGAGGGTGTTTGGACAGAGTTGTTAGAGGCCTGTAGGGACAGCAAATGACAGTGTAGTAGTGTATTTATAACAGCAGTGGAGGCAGGACTCGGAGCTAAAGGCAAGTTTGCAGAGATGCCACATGACGGGTTTTTGCTCTACTGGGTGAAAAAAAAAGAGAAAGAAGGTGAAAGATAAATGACCGTGGAAGAAAAGCAGGGTATAGATGTGCAGAAAAGCTTTTGAAACATTTTGCCAAATGGACAAATGTTATGAAATGAAGATTAAAAAGGGGATGAAACATATCTGGCTCATGCCAAAGCACTGAACACAGATGGATAGCAGCACTAGAGCTGTAGCATAATAGTCCTAATGCCCTGAGTGTAAATTACCCTGATGGCACCCAGCCAGGCTATGAATTACGCCTGACTTGGAGGATACAAGTCTAGTGATGTTATGAGTGGGCTACTTGGACTTTCTGCCATCTCATAACGATAAAGAAGGGCTGAATATCAAAAGCGGGACACGGACATATAGTGAGTCACCAGTGGGGGTTAGTACGACGGACAAAAGAGCAGACAAGTCACTGCTAAATTTAGAGTTTTTCCAGTTAGCACATACGTATGCACACTGCAGCCACTGGTGGTAATCTAAAGAAAATAAAAAAGCAGAAATGTGGATAGTCTGGATTTCTGAGGATGTTGCATGTTACCTGCTTAGGGGTCTTCCAGGGTGAATAGTGACCTGTAATGTTGAGAGAACAAAAAAACAACTTATGTTTTAGACGGAAAAAGATGAGATGTGAGGCTTATTTTTACCCAATGAAGCCAGGGTTTCCAGGGTATATCTTAGAGGATAATAAAATGAAGAAAACATCTGAATTAAATTTAAACCAAATGAAGACAATAATGGGACATGACAGCAGTGTTTGTAAGTGGTAGAAAGGACGAAGAAAAGGACGTCTAAAACATGATGAAAGCACAAAGCAAGCGATGGCAAATACATTTCTATGAGGCAGAAACCAACTGTGAATGTAAAGTGAGATTAAAATAAGACCTGAGAAAATTCACTGCTGCACATACAGAGTATTTGCTACTGATAAAACGTGATTTTTATTCTGATTTGGAGATATCAGGTAATAATGTTTGCCTTCTGTTAAATAGAAAGCGAGGCCAAACTTTATACTGATGCATTTTAAACCTGCGTTATTATATTTATAGCCACTTGGGGCAGCGGAAACAAGCTGTAAACACAACACTGACAAATTATTACATTATTACACAAGTATTCCTAAAGGAAATTCAAATCTCCTCAGCTGCTAAATGCTTATCTATGAGCAGGTGCGATTATTAGAGAAATCAGCTGCATGTTTGCTGAACATTTTAGGCCATAAATCCAAATCAGCTGCATGAATAAAAAACATTAAAATGTAGTATTACAAATCCCGATCCTCACAAATACAGACACTCTGGTTTTACTAATGTGACAGAGACAAACTGTTCTATATTATCATGTACTGCACACCAAATGCCACTAGAGGGCAGTCTACTGGTGACACAGGCTCCAGAGCTCAGTCAGCTGTGACAGGTAAAAAATATAAAAATGACTCACTGATAAATGTGCACCAGCCAACACACTTGAACATGTGCATACTTAGCCTCAAGAGAAAAAGTCACGGATACAGATGTAATCCTACAAACTGAGTCTTCAGTGAGCTCGCTGACTTTCAGTGTTTCAATGTCTGTCACATGGACAGCTGTCAGCAAGTCATCCAACAATAATCAAGATAAAGGTGGGGGTCTTAGTGGAGATTCAATTCCTATGTGATTAAATAAAATCTTTAATTCAGATTAAGCTCAGATTGAGCATCAGAATGGGGAAGAAAGGTGATCTGAGTGACTTCCAATATGGGTTAGCTATTGGTGCCAGGAAATGTGATTTATTTTCCCACATGTGCATCTGCAGGGTTTACAGAAAATCCTCCAAAAAAAAGAGCAAATATCCACTGAGCGCCAGTTCTGAGTGAAAATGGCCTTCAGCGGTCAGAGGAGAATGAGCAGACTGCTTTGAGCTGTCAAATAAACACTCATTGCAACCAAGGTATGCAGAAGAGGATCTTTGAACGCAAATCTTAAAGCAGAGACGCTACAGCAGCAGAAGACCACAGCTAAGAACAGGAAACTTAGGATCCAATTCACATGGGCTCACTACAAACAACACAAAAACATGCATCCATCCTGCCTTGTGTTAACCATTCAAGCTGCTGCTAGTGGTGTAATGGTATAGGGGATATTTTCTTGGTACCCTTTGGGCACATCACAGCCTATCCCAGTACTGTTTCTGACCATGTCCCTCCCTTTATGACCGCAGTGTACCAGTCTTCTGATGGATGCTTCCAACAGGTTAAAATGCCGTGTCACAAAGCTGAAATCATCTCAAACTGTTTCTTGAGCTGTACTCAAATGGTCTCCACAGTAACCGGATCTAACTCCTATAGAGCGTGGATGTGCATCTGACAAATCTGCAGCAGCTGTGCAATGCTGTCATGTCAGTATGAAGCAAAAATGTTTCCAGCATTTTGATGAATCGATGCCACGAATAATTCTGGCAGTTCTGAAGGGAAAAGTTGGCCCAACCCAATACTAGCAAGGTGTAGCCAATGAAGTAACTGGTGAGTGTGGGCTACTGGTAGGGCTGCACGATTTTGCATAAAATGAGAATCACGATTTTTTTTGCTTAGAATTGAGATCACGATTCTCTCACGATTTTCTTTTCCAGTATAAATATTTATTGCGCTTATTAACTGCACATCAACTTCGTAACAGTTGAGACTGAACATAAAAACAACAAATTTCTCGTTTTGTTGTTGCCGCAAAATGTTGTACTGCTTGAAATTCCGTCTCCACCGTTGCTCGACACTGCGTGTATAGAGCAGGTGGTGCAACAATAGAAAAATAGTTGCGGGACGGCACTGTGTAGCGTTTGTCTAGGGTGTTGATCATTTTCCTAAATCCCTCGTTTTGCACAGTGTTGATGGGAGCCATATCTTTGGTCAGGTGATAAGTGATAGCCTCCGTAATTTCTTTGTGCCTGCGGGAGTTCGACGGGTATAGGGAAGCGCTGTATAAGGTTCCCGTTATTGATGTTTGGGTGGTTGACCGGGACGGATTTTCTCCTGTCACTTTCTCGTCATCCCTGACGTGCTCTCCGTTGTTTTTTCCCTGCTAATTTTAGCATCACACGGCACAGCTTCTGTATCACGTGGTATAAGGCTCCGCCCTTGTCATTTGTTGAGCAGGAAGAGTGAGCGCTTGTTTTCATGCAGATTACGTCCCGGATCAAAATGCGGTACAATCGTCGTCTTTTTTTTTTTTTTTTTAAATCGTTGTCATTTGGAAATGAGATCGCACATAAGTATGAATTGAGATCGCGATTTTCTAACGATTAATCGTGCAGCCCTAGCTACTGGGCTACTGTGTAACCAAACATTTAAACGGTGGTGTACATTAAATAATATGAATTGTTTTCAACTTAATAAATTAACAATTCTAAATTTTCTAAAGGCAACTAGTTGCTAATTTGTCTAACTACATAACCACCCAGCTACAATGATTTACCATAAAAGCCATCACATGTCCTATCCCCAGGTGACGTTTCACACCAGGAAGGTATGAAAAAAATTAACCTAGGTCTAAATCTGTTCATCTAAAGGTAACTAGGGGGATCCAGAGGTAGTATAAAAGAACTGAACACTCAACATGAATCCATTGTTTCAGTTTTCACTTGAAATGAGGAAAGGCTGACCTCACTCAATACCTCTGATCAATCTTCAGCAAACATTTCATTAAAGCATTCAATATCAGCACTCAGCAGGACGGCAACTACACTAGGCAAAGAGACGTTTGTGAATATATCACTGATCTGTCAGTGCCTACAGCAATAAAACTTTGACTTTCACTTAAGTTCAGGGTGACCATAAAGTGGTTTTAGTTTGCAATGCAGTGCAGCAAGTTAAGAACATACTTTCTCCTTTCACTTCCCAATTCATCTTGCTTTGACCTTTAAAATGTTATTCCACACATTTCAGCTGCTTACAACGTTGTCCAAGCACAAGAACCAGAATTCTGAGTTGAGCGATGAAAGAAAATCATCAGTAAAAAAGTACAAGACATGCAGCAAGCATCAAACACTTGTATATATGCATTCATATACATGCAGACACAGAGTAATGAAGCACTTTTCTTTAGTCCAATTCACAGGAGCATATTAAGAAAAGGTGCATTCTCCATCTTCTTTATTCACTTTTTCTTTCTCTTGTCTTTCAAGTGCTGCCACAGTCTTCCCTCTGGGAAGCTTCAAGCACATGCAAATTGAGGGATCAAATTAAAGGGTGACTGCTCGAATTATGCGCCAGCCTTCCCAGTCTTGGCCTGGCCAGACTCCAATCGCACTGTAAAAACATTCGTCTCACTGAGCCACTAGTGGAATGGTGACAACATGGAAATTAACAAAGGCTACAAAGAGAACTCCAGCAATGTTTTTCAGAGCGCTGGCTCTTCTCTGTCAAAACAAGCCAAATAACATTTTTAGAAACAAACCAGTTACAGGAGCTTATCTAAAACTCAATAACAATTTCACTTTCAATGCACATGGGAGCATTTTTATCAGCGCAAAAAAAGAAAGACTTCTGAAGTGTTATAACTTGAGGGGCAGAGAAGGATTTTTGCTTTTATTCCCAAAGAAGGTGAATCAATGAACAGCTTTCCAGAATACCTAGATTTGAGTCTTTGTGGAGGGTACAGTGAGCAAAAGAGGCAACAACAGAGCAGTCCTCCACATGGGTAAAAGAACCTGAGATAAGCCAGACCGACAGAAAGAGGGTGCACTACCTGGCATCACTGACGGAGGTGATCCACGGGTTAAAGACACTGTTAGCTCAGGCATACCAGACATTTATGCAGACGTAGGTGTCAAAGTGCCCCATGGCTAGAAGTTGAGAAGGGGTGAGCGACTGAGAGAGAACACCAAGAGAGAGAGGGAGGGCAAAAGGAGCTGTCCGTGGTGCTGAAAGCTCTTAGCCCAAATGCTAATCAGATCTGTCAGCTCAGCTACAGAGAGCTACATGAACCCTGCAGCGTCCAACTTGCACTTAAGTTCTGAGCTAACTGGTGTCCTGTCCTACTGTATGCGTCAGCCTTTTCCAATATAAGTATAACAACAGCAATACACATCAGTAAAAGTGCACAGGTAATGACTGCGTCTGACTCCACTCCATCCATGGCACAGCTTCAGGTAATAGTGAAGGGCATTTGGCTGAAGTTGTGCCTCATTTTCAATTCCTGGTTTCTGGGCAAAACTCTAATTAAAGAGTTTGGAACTGGAAATGTTTCCAGAGATGCTGGAGCTGGCAGGGACTTCACAGAAAGCACTGGTTCTCAAAAGCGCCAAATTAAATCTTACATGTTGGCTCATTAAAACCTGCTGCTGTCAAAATTAGCTTCCAATGGGGAAAAAATGGGTGAATGTCATTAAAAAAAACAGCAAAAAATATCAGCGGTTGTGTTACTGTTTGTTCAGAACATAGACTGTATTTAAAGTTCTGTATTGAGAGTTCTTAAGTGCCTAAAACCTGCATTATATGTAGTGACCATTAGGGGGCTCCTTGGGTTACCAAAAGTAGTCTAATTAAATAAAAAAACTGACAGAAAACAACCCTATTTCTTCCTTGATTTTAGCTTGAGTAA